TCTCTCTCTCTCTCTCTCCACGCTTTAAATGACATCCTCCGTGAATTTCGTGTATTTCAAGAGCATCAAGGTTTCACAAATTTAGTAGGACTAAATTTACATTGGAAAATTGGAAGCCCGCGCTCACTCATTCGGCGTGAATTTCTGAATTTTCATTTTCGCCTGCCTTTGGCACGCAGAATGCGTTTTTGTTTCTCCTCCTTCGTCGATTCTCTCGATTTCACTTTTCCCTTCGTTCGTTGATTTCTTGTTATTCGAGAATATTGCACAGAGTCGCTGTTGATTCGCGCTCATCAACGATCAATTCTGAGATCTTTGCATCATCTGTTTTCGCTTCATTCAGAGGGTATACTATAGTCATTCATACGTGTAACAACATTTGTAAATAATTCGTACATACGCATAAATACAAATATAAATACATACATAGGAAAATACAAATGTACATATATCAATCATAAGCACACGAAAATCGATGCAGTCTGCCCTTGTACTGATGTTGATATCAAACATTGTGTTTGAACAAAGAAACGTTTCATTATTAAAAGTTTTTCTCGAGCAACTTATACTACACTTGATTAAGTGATCAAGAATTCTTATTTTAGTAACCTTCTAGATTCGTTCTATTAGAAGATTGTATCGGGAAGATCGTGATTCCATTGCATTGTTTCGAAACTTTAATAATTAAAACGTCTAATGAAGGAGTAACTTTAACGTCGTGATACGAACTGTGGAAACGTGAACGATCCTCGATAAATTCTTCCATAATCTGTGATATTCAGCCTAGTTAATAAAGTATTTCATTTTTCATACAATCATCTATCATTTATATGTTATTTTATAATTATATCATTCACCAATATATCATTTACAATATGTTATGTATCATTCATATATTATTTTTATACTAATGTTGACTTATTGATCAGTTTCAGATAAAATATTGCTTATAACTAAGCATATTGCGGCAGTGAATCAGTATAGTTTTACGAATTAGATAAAATATGTATGCAGAAAATATTTACATAAATTAATACACGTCAGTTCAAGTATATAGGAAAGTATACATACATGAAATTTGATGTAAGACATCACTTTAAGAACTATAGAAACGAGTGTTCTGAAATTGTTCTTTATATTTTTGCATTATTGGGAATAACATTATAGAAATACAATCTGCTCCACATTCTGGTTGGATTCACAACTATGAAGCGCGTCTCAAAAATCATGCCAACGAATATTTCTGCATGTTGAAAAGAGAATTCATAGTCATTCTAGAATAGCAAGGAAGACAAGTCTCTGTGGCTTCACATTTCCTGAAAGGCTTATCTTCTTTCAGAAGAAAAAGATGAAAATAACAGATATTGTTTGGTACTTGAATATGACAGTTTTATAATTCTATTATTATAAAGAGATAGAATTAGAATGTGTTAAATGTCATGTATAGTCGTAATTATAAAAACGATACATCATTGTGAATTTTCCTTCTTATATTTGTTCGTACAACGGTTAACAACGTGGCTGATCAAGAGAAAATTATGATTAAAATGATCGCGTTAATAGTTAAGGTATACAATAGAAGCACAGATCTGACTGATCTAATAGCAATAATAATGAAAGTCATAAAAAGTGTTTATAAAATTATTTCAACAACGAAGATCGTCCTCAGTTTCAATGTTCTGTTTTCTCTTCTTCGCTTCGAGTTATCTGCTTATTCAGTTACAAGTGTGTGTATTTTTTAATTAGGTTTTGAAAACAAGAACTCGAAGTAGTAGGGAAACTGGCAATTGACGCAAGAGAAATCCAAACGGAGCCACAAACATAATAGAGTTCCGCATTTAAGTTAAATCATTCAATTTTTATATTTATCAACGCGGATTATTTTCGTCTGAACAGATGGATACATCTGAGCAAAGGAAAACACAGAATAGATTTGGATCGTGGATGACCCGCGATTGTATGTTTTTCATGATTTTATTCATGTTTCATAATTTAATGATTTTGATTGCAAGAATTTGATTTAAAATAAAAGAAAAAAAAATATACGAGAATTAACGAGGGAACACTTATTGCTTAATAAACAATCGAGAAATCTTAAATTTGGAAATTGGCTTGCTGCAGAAAAATTCTTGCTAGCTTGAATTTTTTTTTCTCTCGACGTAGCCAATCTGTAACTCACTTTAGCCGAGTTTTATTTCGAGTTTAAAAGTGGAAAATGCTCGAATATCGGTTACACCGAGAGGCTTCAGGATTAATGCTTTTGTTCCGAATTGTTTCAAAATTTTTTTTTACCTCTCTTGTCCTTTTGATTTTTTTCTTTTATTTCATATTTCTTTTTCTTCTGCATATTTTTTAGATAAACAGGGCGAAACTCCGAAAATCAAAGATAATCGCAGCCCTTTCTTTTTTGCGAGCAATCGTCATAATAAACCAGACCACTATCTTTCAAAATTCTGATCTTTCTTTGGTGAGTCGACATCTTTTCCATCTTCTTCGAAATATCTTTCTCATTTTTCCTCTGAACGTTCCCCTAATTATTCAATATATTTTTCATTTTGATTCTTTTTGAGAAATCGTTTTGCCTTAAATGATCCAATATATTTTTATAGAAATTTATAGAAATAGTTCAAGATTAATTTCACGCTCTCGTGGAAGGTAATTTTTGAACCAGTCTCGTGGAGGGACCGCTCGATATATAGACAAATGCTACCAACTCCACCTCGTTCCGTTTCCTTTTCTACGAAGAAAAGAATTTTAATCGTGAATAGCATCGCGTTTTTTTTTTTTTCTACTCGACGTATTTACACGAGCAAAGGATAAGGGCTGTACGTTGGACTACGAAGTGTCGCTTGAAAACGGAGAGATAGAGAATCGGGGAGTTGAAAACGAACTCGAATTAGTGATGGTCGACGATGCAGTGCTCGTTTCTCTTTCTCTCATTTCCTTTCTGCTCTTGTTTTTCTCTTTGCTCTCTTTTCCCAACGAAACATTTCCCGAAAAGAAGTTCTTTCATATCGTTCCACGGACTTCAAGCGATTTCTATGTATCCGTGGTTCAACCGTTAAATAGGTTTTTTTCAATTTCAACGCTTGGTATTTTTCAATTAACATGCCGTCTCGGTCGAGTCGATTAGCATCGGGATATTTTATTTCCTCGGATTTAACATTTTGAATGTCTCGAGCTTGTGTTTTGTACATTTGTATCAATCGAAAGCGATACAGGATGTTGTTTTTGATGAATTTCCTTCGTACAAAACCAGAATCGTTTGTCATTGGATACCATTGCACGTCAGTGGCGCTTGATCCTACTATTGTCGCGAACAGATAAAAGTGCGATACATCCGGCCGAGAAAGGGAATTGTTGTTTCTTCCAAGAGCAAAGTTGAAATCCGATTAAAAGCTTCGCAGTGGAAGCATCGGCGGTGATGGCAAACTTTCCGGCTACGTTCGAGCAGCATTTACGCGACTGGTATCGAGTGAGGTGCGCTTCGATCCTTGATCTGAAAGGCTCAACAGAAATTACGAAGGTGGTATTATTATCTGATGGTACCAAGGCCGAATCCTTGCCCGGTCATTTTCATGGAAGCATTGAAAACGGGCCAAGAGGTCGACGTAAATGATGGATAAAAGTTTTATTCAGTGAGACGAGAAATCTCGATGGAACTTCTTAGATAAATCAATGGAGAGACAAAAAAAAAATACTTTACCTTTGCTTCGTCAATGCTTGGAACTGCTTCAGTCGAATGCTTCAACTTCTTTTCAAAGTTCTATGTTTCTTCGACCGTCGAGAATGGAATTTAATCGTTTAGCAAAACGCGAGAAGAGCAAAATATTTCGCAAAGGTTTGTTTTTTTACAAGGCCGGACAAAGAATTAAACGGAGATTAAAGAGCGGGGCACGCCGGAAACTGGAGAAAGAGCGAACTCAGGCCCACTTAGGCGGACGTTACACCTCGTGCTAGAGGATATGCACTTGCGTTTTGAGGTTGCACTCTTTCGCACGTTCATTAGCGTCGTCAGTTTACCTGGCGGCGAAGCATACGCCACTCGTTTCGTCTTGGAACCGTCCAGAAGTGGTTTCAGGACGTTCATGACAGACCTTGGTCCGCGTCTTCCTTTTCGACGCGCTTGCCTTTAGCAAGTTCCACCTCTTTGCATTTAAAATGACTCGGTCTCGCAGTCATTTTTTCCAGCGTGATTACGTTGGCGTTGCTTGCACACTGTCGTTGAACTCGAAACCGTTTGATCCGCGACGTAACTTTTAGTTACGGTTTTTTTTTCTAGGTTGGCTTAGCATCCATATTTCATGCATCGAGGGAAATTTCAAATAAGAGCTGAGAGATGAATAGTGTATTCGATGGAAAGTAATAGAAGCTGTTTGAATAATTTCTAGGTTGAGTTAAATGTCACCCTAGGAACAATGTAGCAATACATTTTGCTCGTCGTAATGCGAGCCTCTTTGGAATCAAGGAAATTGAAACACCTGACCTCGTAATGAATGAAAATTCAATGTGTGTTACAAGAAACCGGCTGGCTAATCGTCGCAAATATGCCGCGAGTATTTGCATATTCGGGTCAAGCTGGTTATCAGCTAGCTGTGTTTAGGCACTCGCGAGATTATTCACACGGCCGGTGATTTCGCGCGAATATTCAGGCATCACTGAGTAATCGTGACATTGCATTGCATCACAAAGGGAATGACGATGGAATGTCAGCTTTCTTTTATATAAATTTTTTTGGGTTGAATTAACGCAACGTTGAGGAATGTCGTCAAGAGTGAATTGGGGGCAAGAATACGGGCGGTTAGGAAAAATTCTTTTATACTGTTATCACTTCTTCGGATAAACGACAAAAATTTAGTCGATAATAAAAATTTGAGTGAAAGCTAGAGGGAACAAGGATAAAAATTTCGGCCTGAGGCGTTCCTGTAGGTGGAAAGACGGACAGAAGATTAGGGGTTGAGTGTGGCAATAACAAGGCGCGACAAAATAAGAAAAGAGGCCGTGTAAAAACAGCAGAGAGCGTGGAGAGAGAGCTCGAACGAAGGAGGGCCAGTTTCTAAGCTGAAACCGGAAAAGTAGCGACGAACAAAAAGCTGAAGGGAGGAAGAGAGAGTAGGGTTGATGATGTGGAACTACGAATCTTAAGGAGAAGCGGAAGAAACAAGAGTACACGATAAGAGAGAGCGAGAGGTGGGACGTGAAATGGCAGCAGTGAAGAATCAGGTAAAGGGGTGCCAAAAATTGGGAAGCACGGAGAAAAAATGGGGCTAACGTGTAATTGGTTGCAGCACGAAGATTCTATACTTGTCACGTGGAACAGAAGAAAATAAGCTACAACATAAACGGAGAGGCGGATACGTAACATGCGTAACGCCTAAAAGCAAAGAGAATGACTTCGATGAACTTTGACTTTAATATAATAAGTACTTATAGAAACGACAGTGATGGAAGATGTTCGAGGAATTGGTATAAAATTGGAACGCGCAGAGAGGCAAATTAAGATCGAGGAATAATTGGACGTTGGTTGCGCGAACGAGGCCCGAGCGCGCGTAGCCCCATAAACCTACATTTAAATTCAATCACAGGGGAGAAGCGACGAGGCGGAAGGTTCGTGGGATACATCCCTTGACGCGCGCATATGCGCGACCAACGAACACATGGGAAGAATCAAAGAAGAGAAACG